CCCCAAAACCCCAAAACCCCATCAGTTAATAAACTGTTAAATTACTATCTAAGTATATTTAAATCCTCTGTGTTTAATTAAAAAAATGTTTTTAAACTAGTTTTAATTTTCAAATTATATACTGAAATGCTTATTTATCATTTATTTGTATCTTATAATCGAATAACATAATCTGAATCTTATGTGAAAGGATTAACATCTATCCATCCCTTAAATTTACTCAAATTCCATTAATTTATTGATGCACGTTGCTTTTATAAAGTATCGAAATTGAATAAACTTGGCCATTGTGGTTCAGCAGAGATTATTATTTTATCTAAATAACTTCCAAGATAAGCTGGCCACCAACTATATGTAGTTGTTGGAATAATAAAATGCTTGCATTCTCTGAGTAAAAAGAACTCCTCGATATTCGATAGATACCCATCTGACACTACATTAACATCTTAAATATCTGAAAATATTTCTCTTACAAACATATAATCATCAGAAAAAATGAAGTATTTAGGAAAATTTTTTGTTATTTTTACTAAAAGTGATGACATAATTTTCATGCTTTTGAATTAATATGATATTGGAAGTATTCTATTTCCATCTGAATAGTAATTCTGAAGATCTCCACGTCTTACATGTACACAAACACTTTCAGCATTTTTAATCTAAGCTTTTTATCTAAAATATTTTTATGATGCTAGAAATTAATCTGAGGGCTTAATCATTTATTAGAGATCTTTATAAGATTCTTGAAAGTACATAGCATGACCAAAATATTAGTCAAAGTATAGAATCTGATTAGTATGATTAAAAGCCTCCTTAAAATTTTTCCAAATAATTTTGACACTATTCTTAATTAGATATTCCCCTAAAATTTCTTCATCGACAATCTTGTCATATACTATGTTGAAATTTGAAAGTTGCAATAAACGGTTATCATACTAGCTAGTATTTTATTGATTTACTTCTACTTTAGATCTTATCAAAATAACTGTTCTGTTTTACTTTTTAGCTGCATTATACATAGAACTATATTTTAGTAGCTAATTTCCTATTCCCTCTCCTCTTCCAAATATTGCTGTTACTATTCTTTTACCTCTAATATATTCCTTAAATTGCTATAGACTCCCATTATTTTCAGAATTGGCGGTCCTTCCAAATGCAAGCAATATCGCTAAGAGCAGAATAAGAGTAATTTAGATTTATAATTATGTATTTCTTATCGACATTATATTATGATGTATTTAA